ATTTTAAATTATCAATTAAAATAAATTATTTATTATTTAATATATAACATATCGCATGTCATTTTTTCATTAAAAAATATTTAAATGATAAATAAATTTTTAATGTGTGATGACATTATATATTAAATAATAAGTAATTTATCTTAATTAATATTTTAAGTAAAAGATTTTTCTAACATATACTTTTAGAACATAGGTTAAGAAAGCAATCAATACACCTTTTTATCATTAAAATACATAGAAGAACTTAAGTTTAACTTTAATTTTAACAACTAACCAATTAAATTAAGATATTTGACATTAATGTTAAAATTAATATCAACTTTTGTTGATGGATTTTTGTAAAAGGTTAAACTTGGACTCGAGCAATTTCCACATCATCAAGGCCCACGTCAATCTAAGCATCCCTTGACGTCTTCAACATGCATTTACCAAAAGGGCCATTAGTATCTAATGATACAATACATGGCTGCATTGCCAAACATACATAAAACAAGTCCCGTTCCTTTATTATTTCCTTATTTATTAAATTTCATTATTTCATCAACTGATTACTATTTCTACATGTAGATCATCAATAAACCCATGAATCCAATCTCATAGGGATTATTCGAGGTAAATTATGGGAGTAGTGGCTTGGCAAACATGGATAGATGAACAGTGCCTGTTTGGCAAAGGGAGGTATTCACACCAGCCAAGCTTGAAGCTGACAATGTTGCTCGACTTCACTAGAAAAGGCTAGGTGGTGAAGATGTGGAAGTGGACTTGATCCCCAAAATTGTACTGTTTGATGCTAACTAAAACCTTGAACTCTTGTTAAAAACCAACTAGAAATGCTATTTCAATCCCCATTAGCAAATTGTAACTGTATTTAATGCAAAGGCGGTTGCACATATTCCATTGCGTTGGAAATTGTTGAAAATAGTGGCCACACAAATTCCATTGCCTTGGAAATTGTTGAAAAAGATTACATTTTGCTTTAAAAATCTACCAAAATCTTGGGTTGATTTGATTTTGCTTGTTGCACTCAAGTACCTTCCCAAAAATGGCAAAAACGTACTTTAAGCTCCTTACTTTACCAAGTTTGAAGGTTTCACCTATTATCTCATATTATGACACTTTTAACCCCTTACATTACTAGATTTATAAATTTTAGCCTCGCACCTATTAAAATCGAAGAAAATAGCCATCACTTTATGTTGACTATTAACTCTGTTAGCTCTGTTAGCTAAAAGTATATTTTTGTCAACTAACAGTCAACTAATAGCTAATTAACAAAATTAACGAAATATTATAAAATGAGTTCTGTTAACTCTATTAGATAAAAAAAGGTTTTTGTCAATTAACAGTCAGCTAATAGAATTAACAGTCAGCTAGCAGAACTAACAAAATGTTACAAAGTGGGGACTATTTTCTTTAATTTTAATGGATGAGGGGCTAAAAGTGTCATGGTATAAGGTGAAGGGCTAAAAATGTCATAATATAAGGTGAAGGGCTAAAACCTTCAAACTTGATAAGGTAAGGGGCTCAAAATAGGCTTTTGCCCCCAAAAATGGAATCCCATATGATTGGAAGAATTACCAAAAATGGGAAGTCTTCAGTCCTTCACTAGAACCAACAGTACTTCGCTTGAACCACTAGATAATTTATAACATTACTGCCAAAAAGCTATCAATAATACCCAGAACCACTCAAAACTTAACAGCTCACCCAAATATACCCGTTAGGCCATTATGCACCTCTGATCCATCAACCAAAATTACAAAAATGCGATGCGCACACACACACACACACACAGACACATATATATTTCCTTCATTTTCCAACAAATGATAACAAATTTCATAGAACCAACTTTCTTCCTAATACATTAGACCTCCATTTTTCCTCTGAAAAATCCTTTATCTTCAACCTCTCCTCATATACTCCAAAATTACTCAAAAATCACCATTTTATTAAATTTTTTGCGCTTCCAGCATTACAAAATATTTTCCAAACTTGCATAACATTATAGCTAGGAGATAACATGCTTCAGTTTCATTTTCTAGGTAATTTTCTTAAGCATCAAAGGATCAAGCTAAAAGGTTAGCATCAAAAATAGGATCAAGCCCCCCATTCACAAGTCCCACAATAGTCATCCCTCATTCTCCCATCTCTACTTTTAAGTTTATTCCTTTTGTCTTGTTAAAGCTTGAAGGGAATCATTGTGCTTTTTACCCACAACATGAGAGTTGCTCATTATAGAGTATGAGTATTTGTCAAGGACAATAGAGGGCATATTCATTGTTTTTACTTTTATACAACAATATATCATGTATAAATGTGCTTCTCAAGTTGTAATCTTCAATCTTTATATATTTTCTATCCTTACTACTCCTATAACAATGTACATGTCCTTTTCATCATTTTTGATAGTTGTGTAATCGTTCTCAGTTCTTGAAACTCTGTCATTGCTACCCAACTCTCTTGGTGTGGTTAGAAAATTTACATTTACAAACTTTGCTGGGGGAATTTGTTGCCGATTATCTTCTTTGGACAAAGTGAGATGGCCCGTAACACGTAGGTTCTCACATGTGAAATGGGTACTACTGAAATAACCCTACTCATCTCTTGTAGGTGGTATCTTAATCAGCTTCTATATCATTTGTACCGTTGACTCATTGCCTTCATGTAACTTACATCTTAACAACTTTTTTATTTTTTCAAATATATTAATAATTAAAAGGTGTATTAATTATACTTTTAATTTGTATTTTAAGAGTACAAAAATCCTTAGTAGTTTATTCTTATTTTATTACAACAAATTTACCCCTAGGACGGATTTAGAGGATCTGCCCCCTTAGTTTCCTTCTCATTGGATATGTTATCGCACGTGTGTTCGCGGCAAAATGACAACTGCAGCACGTGCCATCGACGACTGAAAAGTGGATAACGAGACTAGCGATCTCCGTCTCTCATTCAGGAGAACAACAAACTAAAAAATCAAATCCCATTCTCGTTTGCACAAGAAACAAAAAGGTTCAACCAGAACATACCACGTGTCTCACCAGAAAATCACTCGTAAATTTCCCCAAATTTAATTTGTCGTTCACATATTTTACGCGACAGGCTCTGTCACCGAGGAATCCTACCGTTTTCTCGGCCGTCCTATACTCTCAACGCGAAAGTCCGTCGGAGAAGAAAGAGAGTAAGGAAAAATGGCGACTTTTGCGCCGCTCTCAGTTATCTCTGCCAATTCAGTCCCCAAAATCTTCCCCAATCACCTCGGAATTAGGATTGGGGTTTTGGGTCGGAGGGAAATAAGTTCGGTTCATCTCAATCATGGTGGGAGAAGCAAATTACGGAGACTGAATGCAGGGTTGACGGAGATCGAACCTGACCTCAACGAAGACCCAGTTGATCGCTGGGAAACCAACAGCGTCAGCGTTGTAAGTTTGATTCCACCCCTTTCTGATATGATGAAATCTTACAAATTCTTTGCTCTGAATCCTGAATTTGCAGTTTTTGCGTTTCTTGAGAAGATTTTAAGAGGAATTTGATGGTGTAAAGAAATGGGTTATTTTGTAATGCTTTTGGGTTGTTGATTGCAGGAAGATTTTGAATACGGGAAGTATGATGGACACCATACTTACTATGAAGGAGAACAGGAGAAAGGTCGTGACTTTAACCTTTCCTTTCTTTTCTTTTCTCTTATTGTGAAAATTATGCATGTGGGCAAGGCTTGCAACTAGTATAAAACCAATTGGTAATAGATAGAGCAATCTTCTTGTATTTAACACATATGTTTCTTCGAAATATCAGATTTTCTCACTCAACATTATGCTTCTGTTTTGCTCAATGAACTCCCATTTGATGAAGCTATACATCTTTTTCAGGAACATTTTGGGGAGCAATTGCAGATGATATTGCTGCTGTAGAGCCTCCTTCAGGTTTTCAAGGTATCAATTCCCAACCAGACAACATAAAAAACAAAACTTTTCCCTTTCCTCCTTTTTCTGGCGCTGCCTTCTGGCTTCTGCCTTTGATTTTCTTTCATAATTGCAGGTTTTATTTCATGGCTCTTCCTTCCAGCTGTTGCAGCAGCAATGTATTTCAATGTGCCGGTAAATCAAATCTTCATTTATGTTAACTTCAATGATTTTAGTCCAATATCAATAGTTCCATGATTTTATATGTAACCTTGCCTTGGTTCTTCAATTGAATGCTAGGGAGAGTACTTGTTCATAGGAGCTGCTGTGTTTACGGTAATATTCTGTATAATTGAGATGGATAAGCCTGACAAGCCACATAACTTTGAGCCTCAGATATATAACATGGAGCGTGGAGCTCGAGATAAGTTAATCAATGACTACAACACCATGAGCATATGGGATTTTAATGAGAAATATGGAGACCTCTGGGATTTCACTGTGAAGAAGGATGACATAATGAAGAGGTGATGTACCGTGGACAAAAAAATAGTTGTAGTTTTATAATCATCAATTAGCAACATGAGCGGCCAGAAAGATATATATAGTTTTCTTTTATTTCTGTTTCTTTTTCTCCAATTTTTATGTCTAAATATTCTTCTTCCTGCAAATTCCCTATTTTGTTAATGCTTAGCAGTGGTTAAATCCCTTTTCCTATGATTAATGAAATTAGAAAATCGGTGCTTCTCATTGACATCTTGCTTGACTTAAGGATTATGTAATCTATTTTCTTATTTGTTTTGGCCGACATATCTTTTCTTATTGTAAGGTCCCATGCTGCATAAATGAGTTGGTTATGGGGGGTGAAAAGTCTAACATACATTATCTTCAAGAATTGTTTGTAAGAAAGATTCTACATTATCTGTATCACTGCTCCAATCCAAGAGGTGCCCAAGTCAATGAGAAAATGACAGCTTAAAAACCTCTGCATTTTCATGCTAATGTGTACTGCTCAGTGGTGAAACCTTTGCGAATTTGTCACCTTAACACGAGATGCAAGGGTTTATGGGATGACATTTTCTTAAAAAGTGAGATACCATGTTAGAAGTGCTCTTCATGTGTCTAAGTTAAACATTCCTAGTTGGAAATAGCAATAATTAGTATTATATTTCTCAAAGCTTGTCTAGCCATTCTCATGCCAAGCAGCTAGGCATCCTTTTGTCGATTGTATATTGGAGTTAGTTACTGAATCAAAGCTTCATTGCTGTAATAAGCACCTCAAAGACATACAATTTCATAAGGGGTTCATGGTTGATATGGTCTTACATAGTCAAGACAACAAAAATTTACATTATAATTCAAAATCTCTACGCACCAACCAGAAGTTTGTTCTTAAAAGTCGTAAGAAATTTGTTTGATTACCCTCCGTATACGCCATGGCCCCTCTCTTGCTAGTATTTTTCAAACCTCCATAATCTACATGATGACCTTTGAATTCCACCGCTTCATTGCACTCTTCCGCAAGTGGTGAGGTCATGTGCACAAAAGATATGAGTTGATAATTTCAACCATACCTCATTATGCCACAATGCTAATGTGTACGAGTTAAAAAGGTTTGGAGTTAAGACTAGTCAAAAGAGAAGAAAATAAGGCTTGGAGTTCGACTAGCTGCTTTTATGACTTTGGTGGCAGAAGGGGTAAGGATAATGTAAACAGCCATTTATGACTTTAATCAAGTTCTTAGTTTTAAAATATAAATCATTAAATTATAAAGACTTATTTATTTTAGTATATTGAAAAAGTTCAATTATAAAGACTTATGTTTATCCAAGTGGGCAAATCAAATGTTAAGTCTCTTGCCACGTAGGAGTAAGATAGCCAATTTCGCCACAGGAGGCAGTCCCCCAAACCACAGTTAACGGCAATTAACAGTAGTTAAGTCGGCTATGAGAGTAAGGGCTAAATTGCTTCTATTGCAGAGTTTAGGGGCTTAAATGCTTCAATTAAAGTCTGGAGGCTGAATAGCGATTATGGGGTTAGTTCAGGGGCTTAACTTATGGTTTTGCCATTCTATTCATTTCCATAACGACCAGTCAGTCTACGACCCAAACTCTGCAAGCCAAGGATGAAGGAAGTCAAAGAAGAGGTCACGTCACGTCACGTGACCTGACCAGAA